GAAAGTAATGCAGATTTCCTTAATGTTCTCAATAGATAGCTTAGATTGAGTTAGCCTGCCCTAATTTATGACAACTTTTGTTCTAACAGAATTTCTTGCAGATTCTTTTTTCTACCAGCTCCTTAAAAAAAACCCCAAAAAATTGCTGCATCTTTCTTGCACTTTGGTTATACAGGCCTAGTGAAGAACAATTGAATGATGTTATAATCTACAGTTAAATCTCACTCCAGCAGCCTTTCTGATTTCACTCTGGTACTCCTAAATCTCACAGGTAATAATTTTGATGGAAAATACTGTAAAGTGGAAGATGGAAAATAAGGCTAGAGCTTTATCCACCTTAGTCCCAGATTTATTCTGAGCTGAACCAGGTAGGGTATGATGCCTAGTTTATACCAAGGATAATTTTATATACCTTGTCAAAAAGTGCTTCCATCAGCAACATGTGTAGTAGTAAACTCCAAATAATGAGACATTTTGGAAGATTCAGCTTCATGTAATATAGTAATATTTATTTGTTATGTGGAGAAGTCTGATTTAATGTTTCACTCTCAACCGTGGGTAAAATTCTTTCTGTAGAGTCCTTTATTACTCGCTCAATGCCAAGGTCTTTAGTGTTGAGCGAGTAATATCAAGTAAAATCAAAGTCTTTGATGAGTGTGTTGAGAAGCCTAGCCAGAATGGGAGAACACACAAAAGACTATCATGCTTCTGCAAACAGTAGAGTAGCTCAGTCAGAAAAGGTTGGCCAGCTGTCTTTAAAATGACTGCAGTCCCATAACTGCCTGGGAGAGGCCTGTCATTACTTGGTTGCTTAAAGTGTTGTAGGACAGTGGTCTAAATCAAGGGCGTCATAAAGTTTTTACTAAGCTTCTTTTAACAAGACATTGGAAGTCAAGTACTTGTTTTATTGCTCCAGTTACACGCTATTGGATTCTGGTCTACTGAAAGACAAATTGAGAGTTGTTTTTTTTCAGAGGAAGAAATAGTTAATTTTCATGCTTGTTTCTTCTCGCCATTGTTTTTTTCCTTGGCATCCTTGCTCAGACATTTCGCCTAAGATCAAGAAATTTATGTGGAAGACATTGTTCAAATCAGGCCTTTCATAAAAATGGCTTAAGGAGGAAATATGGTCCTGGTTTGCAACTTACTCTAAGAGTTACAGTGTGAAGGAGTGATTCACTGATTCAACTAGTTGATTGCAACCTCCATATGACTTCTTCCTGCACACAGACAGTTTACCATTTTTCAAAATCAGTACCCCTTATTTGTCTTTTTCGTGACATTCACTGCATAAACTTCCATAAGGAAATCATATTGGCATCTGAAGATGTTACTTTTCCTGACTTTTTTTCTTTTTAGTATATTAAATAATTCTGAGGTGGAGAAGGAAGACTTCTATGCATTGGAAATTATGATTCAGGTGTGCAATTTGAAAAAAGAAATCAACAACCTGATTTGGACAGGAAGACAATGAGCAATTATTGAAACACTGCAGGAAATTTAATTAAAACTAGGATTTTTATGAGCAGTGTTAATGCTTGCTGCCTCAGCTAACCTGACAATAAAGACTTTCCAAGTGACAGTGACATCTGGCACAGGATCACATGTAGGAATTATGCAGAGGTAATAAAAAGCACTTAATTAGCATTGCAAATAGTATTCCAACATTTAGGAGATGTCTGAAAATTTGCATACAGATACATAATTACGTAATTTGCAGCTGTTGTGTTTGTTCCATAAGACCTTGCCACTTTACTGGTAGAATATGTAAATCAGGAATTAATCCTTTTTAGCACCTACTTTCTCAGTAGTCCATAAATCTGTGGCAAATTATGGGAACTTGTGGACTTTCCCATCTTGGAAAACAGAACTATATCCCTGGGCTTTACTTAACTCTAAAGATCTTTTAAGAGGTTTGTAAAATGCAGCTCCTTCATGGTCAGTTTTTTTAACCCCATTCAGGTCTAATACCTTAGTTTGCAAGGTCATGCTTCAAATCTCTTTTTGATATATTTTCTTCCAGTTTTAAAGAGAACCCAGTTAATATTTATTCTCATTAGTACCTTTGTGATACAGGTAATTAACTTATGTTACATGTAAACAGAGAAGGATGGGAGGGAAGGATATCTGACCAAACAATAGTGCTGTCTAGATAGGTCATTAAATTCAAGGTGAAGCTGGGCAGCTCAGATGCCTAAAACCCAAAACTGGACCAAATTAGCAGCTAGTAGTTTCTTAATACATGATTTCTCAGTGTAACTTATTAGGCCCTTGTATGTAAGATTTCTTTGCCTGGATAAACTTGAACAATTTTCACTTAGGTACCAACAGAAAAAGACATGAAAAATATTTATCCATACCAGCTTTCTTGAGGTATATTTTAATATTAACTTCTGTTTTGTTTCTGCATTGGTATTTTTGTAGCACATTTCTTGTATTTAACTCTGGGAGGTTTGCAGAGATACAGTCGATTAACAAAAGGTAATTCTGTCTACAGAGTTTGAACATACCAAAGTAATATAGAGAAGTTGTTCTTTGTTTTTTATTTTATAACATGTTTTCCCTTGTGTTTTTGAAAGTGCTTTTAGTACGATCATGCCATTGCCCCTTCCATGTAAAGGAAGATTCCCCTTATGCCTGGATCCTGTGAAGAAGAAAGTTCAAAGCATCAAGGGAGTTCTGAGCAGGTTAGGTGATAAAGCATCTTAGAAAACAGTGATTATGCCCCCCCCCAGGAGAACTTCATTGTATCCAAGTTTAATTTGTCCTAGGAAATTGACTGGATTGTGGGCTGCTAGTTCCTTTAACATCTTCCATTAGACAAAAGCAGTTTGCAGTAATGTAGCCTAAAGTATATTATTCTTTATTGACTATATAATACCTTTTTGTTATTTTTTCTTGTAATCTAAGTGACATTTGCAAAATGACAATATGTTTATAGAATAATTATAATTAACAATGAATATATCTTTAAGGATTTTGTTGCTGTTTTTAATGAGAATGAAAATGGGAATTGAAAATGAAATCTTTCTGCCCAGAGTGATTGATCTACCTTATAGGCATTGTCAGCAATAGTTTCTATGGAGAGGGAAGTTGTAGTAACAGAAAGAATAAAATAATTAGCCTTCATAAATGAACTCGACAAAGACAGGAGCAACAGATGTTTCTTTTTCTTTAAACTGAGTGTGTGAGCACAAGGAGAAATGTTGTTCTCTGCTGACTGCTCCAGCAGAATGTTGCTGCTAGTAGCTGCTCTACTGAAAATAGAAAAAATGGAAACAAGGTGTTGCTTTACATTGCTGTGGCTACACCTTTTCTACTGCTGATTTTTACTTTCTAGAGGAGAGTTCACTTGACAGAGGACGAAATGGGGCGGGCAGTGCAGATGGTTCTGAGCTCTTTCTGCACCTCTGACTGCAGAATGGGGGGTTTTGGAGACTCAAATTCCCAAAATCCCCAGTTTAAATACTGTAGGCTGGCATTGGGCCAGATCATATGGAGAAGGTGTCTTAGCTCAATGTCTATTTTGCTTCTGAGCACAGGCTTCCAAGGTAGCATGCTGTCCCACTGGGCCTCAGAGTTACTTTTAAGGTCTTCAATGATTTACACATCTCCAGATGTAGCTGAAACTTTGACACTGTCACCTCTTCTTTTCTGCTCCACCCGCTGTCCCTCCTTACCTGGCTGGAGGTCTTCTGCCCTGTGTGTGGGTTTCTCGGGCTGGGTCTTGAATCGTGGGTCATGGGCCAGGGCTCCCTGCCGCTGCCAGACACACAGAAAAGCCAAAACCACTCCTCCATTAATAAATTTGTGTGGCTGAGAGCCTTTCCCTCGTCTCTTGTGAGGTACAAATCTTCCAGCAGCAGATAGAAGATTAGGACTAATGGTGCTTCTCCTTTTGTTTTCTGGTGCTTTTAGCTATAGTTGCTAAAAAGTATACTCACAGAGGATACTTTAAATTGAAGGTCCATGGCGTTTTTTCTCCCAATTAGGCTGTGCATTTTTGAGATGCACAACACAGTTCTTTCTTTTTAAAAGGTAGGGGAGTTCCCAGTATTTTGATCTGTTTTCTGAACTTTCTTACAGCTTGAAAAAGGTTTTGCTGCAGATTATAACTGATTTATTTTTGTCAGTGCCATGCCACATACCAGTTCTAGGCCAAACCAATTAGAAACACATATCTTTTGTTAGCTGAACAAATCTGATGTAAAATTGTAAGCCTGGAATGACAGACTTTTGCAGGAAGCAGGCTGTCTGGAGGACTCTGATAGAATGTCCTCTGCAGTGCTGAAGCCAGGCAGGAACTCACTCACAGCCTGTGACAACCTGTGTGCCTACAATTCTTAAGGCTTATTTGGAAATTTCAGCTTGTCAGAGGCCTATCCTAATGTAGGACCAAGGCTTTTTATCGCCCTGTATATCCCTTTGCTATTATTAGTAAAGAAAAGAGAACATACAAAGTCACTTTTTATTGAGCTGTTGAAAAGGAGCTGTAGTTATATATGTTTCTGCAACCCCTGGCACAGTCCTGGTCTTGTCTGTCATCTCTAGATACTCTTGTTTTATGAAACACTGAAATCCCATTGTGCAAGCCAAATAATTTCCTTCTTTTCAGTCAGGAATAGATGGTGGAGAAACTCCACTATCAATTTAATTCATCAGCTTCACCGGCAGTATTTCAAATTTAATGGTTTTCAAATATATTTCTAATTTGCTGTTAAGAAAATTAAAATAAAATTCCTAAATGCGTTGCCAAAGGCAGCATCCAATACAGACTAATCTACACCTCAGGAAGGCATTCAATTTTTTTTGTCTGTAACTGCACATTATTAGTGTGTCTGCAATAAGCATGTAATTTTTATTATCTCAGAAGAGTTTGGCAGGGGGAATACATCATTACCTGCACATCTAATAATGTGTAGTGCTACAATTCATTTTCTGAGATGCCATGTGTACTGACAAGAAATATTGACTTTATCTTTCTCTTTGTTTTTTTATAGACAAAGCAGAAGCCTAGCAGTCTGAAGCAGATAAAAAATAAGGATGGACAATATGTTGGAAAGACATTTACATAAGCAGTGAGCAGTAGTGAACAGCAAAAACCAGTCTGAAGATTTAGTGAATAACTGCTTATTTCAAAGACTCAGCAAATGTCAAGCAACAACAAAAAAAAGTACATTCTATCCAGCAACCTTGAACATGGATCTGTAAGTGGTTTTATGCACATGCAAAATAGCATAAAAAATGGCAGACTACTGGGACATAAATAAACATACCATTCCTTTTTATTGTTGGGCTTTGGGCCACACAAAGTACAATCTCTTAAATATACAACTTTACTATGAAATGGGTTTAATTATCTCATTAAATTATGGACATGAGTGAATGGAATTGTTTAGAAGAAGTAGCTACAGACATGAAGCAGCACTAAGAGCTGCTCAGTAGTTGTGTAGTTCCTTGAGGAAGGAATTCTTTGTATAAGGAGCAGTAGTATGCTGGACAAGGTTGTAAAGAGGACAGTGATGAAGAGGACAAAAGCTCCTCGAGGGGTTGTTTTCTGAGACTAACTATGAGAAGAACTAGGCTAATAATTAGAGTCCCTATCTGTGTGGGCACGATTCTTCAAAACACTGTTTTGAGGCACCAGCAAGCAAGTCCTGCCTTTCCAAGGCACTTCTTGGGGTCAGATTTATTTTTCTTGCAGTCAGTGAAGCCTCAGGTGTGATCCTGAAAGCCCATGTAGACCATGAAGAGCCCCCACATGAAGTCTGCTTGTCAGCAGTGAGATAGCATGTGGAAGAGCTGGAGGGGGGATGTATCAGTAAGTACACTGTGAGTATAGCTATTCCTGCAATCCTTTCAATAGAGCATAATCCACACTTTGAATTTGATCCATAGACATCATTCAAGCAGAAAAATGCAGTTTAAATTGTTATATTCCTTCTATCTGAATGGAAAACAGGCATCTCTAGTGCAGTTTTTAGTTGCTTTTAATCATTTCTTCCTCACATTTGCCCTGTATATAAAAAAGAGGAAAGAAAAGTCTCTTGAAATAAGGAAGTACCAATAGGACAATTCCATGAAAATGAAGTTCTGTAATTAAATAATTGAAAGTAAAAACTAAAAGCTCTTCAGCTGCTAAATGTCCTGTATCAAACTTTAGAGCTGTAAGTCCCTTCTTCAGGTGAAGAAATTCTGTGGGTCCTACTGGAGTCTTGTGAGACCAGTGATGGAAGCTGATCTTCCTTGCTAATGGAAATTGCGTTTTTGCCACACACTATTTCTCTTCTGCAGAATCTAAGGTAATTTTTTTGAGAAATCTTTATTTTATTAATTGGGATTGCTAAGATCGTTTTTAGACTACAAATCAAATTCTACAATTATACTACTATGAATGCAGTCAAAAAATGGAATTTTTTTCTGTCTTAGTGGATGCTAAAATAATATTTAGTGTTTATAAGTGTGCCAGAAAAAAATTAACTAGTAAGTGTATTTTGTCTAGTCACATGAATTGGCCCCTTCCTTCCATGATCTACAATCAGATTACCTTGTGATTTTTCAGATGTGTAAATGGTCTCATCTTCTCTCAGCACTTCTGAAAGAGAATACACCTACTACTCTGAATCTGTAGAGTGTAACTTTTTTTTCTAGTGGATTGTTTCTGAAAAATCTGATCACATAGCAAAAAAGAGCATATACAATAGGGTTTTAAGATAATAATATTCTCTTTAGATGCTTGCATGAAAGCTTTAAAATAAAAGGATGATGAAAAATTTGAGAAAGAAAAACAAATTTTCAGGAAAATATTTTATGCTCAGAAGGAAATATTACCTGATTTTCAGAAATCCTCTGTTGATGTCTGCTGCATTTCTCATTCCCTATTAGAGCTTTCATTCTTTACTTATGTTCAGTTTTTATTGTGACGATCATTTGAGACAAGTAATACAAAGTAATTTTTTTCTGCAGTTTTTGGAAATATCAATTTTGATGCCTAAGCCACCTGATTTTTACAGACTGAATATTTTACACTGGAAATGAAAAAAAATGCAGTATTCACAATAATGAGTTGCTATGTAAAATCATTGCTTTAAGTCCAATTTCTCTTTTCTGTTTTAAATGTTGCTTTTCCTTGTCTTTGACTACAAATGTTTCTCAAGTTTTTTCAGGGACTGAAATTGTGCTTCAGAAGTAACAATATACAGAATGCCAAAGCTATATTTATTAAACAAAAATCTCAGGGAGTTTTGCCATTTCCTTTTTTTAAAATTTTTTTTTAAACTTTCTTGGCTAATGCAGTAACACAGAAGACAAGCACAATTTTACCAAAGAAAACCAGTATTGTTGTTTTACTAAGGGAAGTTCCAAAACATTACAACTGCTACAAGCTTACCTAGAACTGTTTTTTTTTTTTTTCTCACATAATTAGCAGCTATTAATGTTTATAAATGGTTACTTATTCATAATTAGATGCTAGATACATTTTGAGGACCCCAGATGATAAACTTTAAATTGAACTCTTGGTTTCATTACCTTTTAGGAGCCCACTACTTTGTGGGTTTGGGCCAAACACAATATTGAAATGAATTGTGTTATTTCAGAAACAGTGCCTACTGGTAAAAACAGTGAAAATTGAAATTCAAGGAACTGTTAAGTAACATAAATACCAATAAACTACAGAATTACAGCTCATTCCTCTGAGACTCTGTGCACCAACAGTAAGTCTTAAGTGATTCAATCGTGACTAATTACATATTACCAGACCTGATCTTTAACACTTCAATCAACCTTTAGTTGTGATGTTTATACATAATTTGTCTCTGTTTATGGTTTTATGTGATAACTGTGCCAATCTGCATTTCATTACAAGACATTTTTACATCAGTTTGCTTGGTAATTTTTTTTTTTTTTTTTTTTTTAGATGCATCTCTTTCTTGGCTTTACCTCTTTGTCTTTGCTCTGCAGCTTCTTTTACTGACTGCCCCATAGTTCAGTGGCTTTTGTTGAGTTGCTGTGAGGGAAAAAGGAGTCCAGACATGACCAATTGCATTGGCCAGCCTGGAGTACTGTGAAGTGCTGAAGTGCATGATGTAGATGTCACCAGCAGTAGGGCAATGGACACTGCAGCTGTGTCAGCCTTATGCTCTATTTGAGCTTATGCTATGTGCTGAGAGGCAGGCTTTGAGTATTTTAGCTCAGTGTTACTGTGACAGCTCTTTCTGGGGTCTGGGAAAAGATTACATTGTGCTTCCCTAGCCCTCTGAGACATGCCAGGCTTTTGGAGACTACTCTGGAGTCAGTGGATCCTCTTCACTGTGTGCAGGTGCACCTTTCAGCCACCAAATCCAGGGATATGAATTCTACATATGGAGTCCCCATCGATGTAGATGGGAAGAGCCAGATACCACATAGGGACACCAATAGAAGCCACTAAGAGAAGGGGCGATTTTAAAACACTGGTAACCCCAAATGCATTATTCATTGGATTCTCTGACTACTAAATCAGAACTAGGCACTTTCTTTCAGGTGGGAATCCTTAGACGGGGTTGCCCCTCTTGGAATTATTCGTCTAAAGCATATCTGCTTTTTTTCAGTAGTACATGGCCTAGAGACCAAAAATTTATTTCTTCTTGTGGGCAGTATCTCTTTTAGTTCATAATTTGCTTCTCTAGCTTCTGGCTGTGGTTTGTGTAGGTGGTATCCTTTGCATCCTTAATAATGTCACAATTCCACACTTGTTTCGGTGAGGCTGATAGATATCATCTGCTAAATGTGTTTGGAGTACACTGACAAGTTCAGACTTCTTTTTTTGATAAGGTAGCTGTTTCTAGTTCAGTTTAACATTTAGAGGGGCCCCTAGGCTGTCAGTTTAACACAGAATCACACACAGAGAATATTCTGAGTCTGAAGGGACCCACAAGGATCCTTGAGTACAACTCTTATGAGAGTTGTAATTTTTAAAGACATTTTAAGAATTAAAAAAAAATTTAAAGAATGTTCTTGAAGTAAAATGTTACCATATGATTACTGATAAAAACATTTCTGTTATTGTTGGGGGTAGGATCACAAAATTCTTTCTCCTTGGGAGGAAATCAGTTTCTGAGGTTGTTCTAGAACCAGTGTGTTTGGATCTCATGAGCTGTTTAAGCCCAATGGCTCTCAGTTTTGACTTAGTAAGAGATAGGAAATTATTTCCTTGTGTACAAAAGGATACAAGATCCTTCAAGCATTTTGAGGTGTTTAAATAATTTCTTAAAAGCAGTAGTTTGTGATTGAGCAGATCTGTCAGCTGCTACTTTTGTGTGAAGAGAGCTTATTTTAGGTTGCTTTCACTTCTGTATCCCTGGCCAAGTCGCTGTGCTGAAGAAATGCAGGAAGCAAATTGTGGTGCTTGATTTCCCAAGAAACTTTTGGACTTTTCTGTTGGCCTTTCAAGTCATAGCAAAACTGCAGCAGTGCAGCCCTAATTTTTCCTTCAGCATTTTACGTTTATTAATACTAGACTGTATGTACATATTTTTAGAAGTAATATGAACTTGGCTGCCAAAGTAGCCTGTTGTTTTTAGAAATACCAGAGATAAGTACTAAATGCCACAGCATACCAATTCTTAATATTTCTTTTTCCTATGCATAACTTACTGGAGAAGTAGTACATAATCTTTGGATATTAAGCTACATTTTCTTCCTTTAAAAAAGAGATTATGATACATTTTGCATATATGGGAAAAGCGATACAACACATTCTAAACAGTCTTCATTAACCTTCATCACAGTCTGTATTAGTTGGTTAGGGTGTCGAGTGATAGAAAAATGCATTTTGTTTAAATTGATTTTAGTTGACTGAAGAAATTCCTCCTGTGGTAAACAAGTGAATGCCTAGGAACTTATTTTTTCAGGGAAAGTGGGAATCTGTTAGAAATTATCTCTAGATAAGGTGCATGAGCTGTGTAATGAAATGCTTTCAATACCAGACAACATTTGTTTTTAATATAAAAGTAGTTGGACATGAGAATTGTCTCCCTAAAGTAGTTCTTGGACAAGTGATTTCCTGCCAGTTAAAATGTTTTCTAAATTTTTATTGAATTAGTTTCCGGTTCCTGCAAACTAGTTATTACAAGATATGAAAATCAATTCTGACATTTCCATTTTTAACATTTACTTTAATGTCTATTTTGTAAAGAGGAAACCAGCAAATTGTGCATGCAGATCT